CAGTAGGATTAAGTGGTGGGTTAGGACTCTTTTGGGTAGAAGGAGTTCAGTTAAGTGTGCTTTTTCATAATTCTAATGTAATAGTCGCAAAAATTAGGAAAGTTCATGGTCTGGAGTGGTTGGCCTTGTTTTTATATGGTCCGCCTTCTCAACAAGGGAGGCCCGAATTTCGGTCCCAGATTAATGGGATTATCCAAGGCTCTAGTTATCCTAGTATTCTATTAGGAGATTTTAATCAAATAGTGGATCAAGAAGACAAATTTGGTGGTCGTCAAGTCAGGCCTCAAGATACTAGAAATATTCAACATTTTCTGTCCTCAAACAACCTAGAGGAGTTGAAACACTTGAGATATTGGTATACTTGGACAAACAAGAGACGAGGAAATGAGGCAATCATTGAAAGGTTAGATCGTGCCTTTGTTACCAAGACATGGCTCAACACCTTTAGCAAAGCTGTCATTCGAAATCTTCCAATTATGAGTTCTGATCATGGTCCAATTCTAGTATAACTGAAGCAAAAGCATAACCATAAAAGGAAGCAGAAATTTGATCAGTTTTGGTCCAATTGCCCGACTTCCAAGGATATGGTTTCTCAAGCTTAGAGGCAACCTTCATGTCAGATTGGGCATTCTCAGGAAAGCCTCTCGTTCAAACTTGATAGAACTCTGTCTAAACTACATAAGTGGAGTAAAATGAGGTATGGTAATTTGCACAATCTTGTTTTTAAACTGTCTGAGAAGTTGTCTCAAGTTCAATTGCAATGGGAAGGAAACAAGACTGATGTGCAGCTGACCTCACAATTGGAAAATCATCGAAAGGAATTAGAGGAGGCCCTTCAGCTTCAGCATGACTGTTGGCAACAAAGATCAAAGCTTAATTGGTCATAATTTGGCGACAGAAACACAAAAATTTTTCACCAATTGGCTGCTAGGAGGAAAGGTAACAAATGGATCAATGAGCTTTGTGATGATCAAGGAGTGTGGATTCAGGATCATGTCCAAATTAGTTCACTGCTCCAGAATCATTTTTCGCAGACCTCCACTGACATGTATATATATATACATGTCAGTGGAGTCTAGTCTCAAATCTCGCAGACCTCCTCATTCTTCAACAATTTTCTTGATAATGTAGAGGAATCCATATCCACTGATCAAGCTGCATATTTAGATGCTCCATTCACAGAGGCGGAAGTGTGTTCTGCAGTTAAGCAAATGTCTCCCTGGAAATCTCCAGGACCAGATGGCATGCCAGCAGGTTTCTATCATCATTACAAGGACATTATTGGTTCAGAAGTTCAAGCCTCTATTCTTGAAGCTTTTAATACTATGTCCTTCCCTCCGGAATGGAATCAAACTCATTTGGTTCTCATACCTAAGACAGCTTCGCCAACAACTCCAAATGATTTCTGCCCCCATCAATTTATGCAATGTCAAGTATAAGATCATAACAAAGATGATAACAAATCATCTTAGACAGGTGATGAATGATCTTATTGATGAACATCAAAATGGATTTGTGTCCGGCAGAAACATTAGCGAGAATATTCTTATAGCTCATGAGGTCATTGAGTGTATAAGGAAGCAAAAGGGTGTTCATGGATTGGCAGCCATCAAGGTTGACATGAGTAAAGCTTATGATCGAGTTTCATGGTCTTTTTTACAAGCAGTTCTTCACAAGGCAAACTTCCATCCAAGATTGATTGCCTTAATCGTGCATTGTGTCTCCTCTGTCTCTTATTCCATTCAATTCAATGGCGAGAGTCTACCATCTTTTTCTCCGAATAAAGGTTTGAGACAAGGCTGTCCTTTGTCGCTGTATCTGTTTATTTTGTGTCAACAGGTTCTCTCCTCAGCAATTAAATCAGAAATCCAGCACTTTCCTGGATTGGGAGCCAGAATAAGTCATCAGCGCCTAGGGTGAGTCACCTTATGTATGCAGATGATAGCCTTTTCTTTATTGAATGCAAAGAGTCAGCTGTGTTAGCTCTTGCAGGACTACTGAAAAATTATACCAAGTTTTCAGGTTACCGTATTAACCTTCACAAGTCTTCTATTCTCATCAGTGATAATACTAGTCAGAATATGAAGCACTTTATGCATTCTACTCTTAAGATTCCAGTTGGAAAGTTTCATAGCAAGTATTTGGGAATGAGCCTAGATTTTAATGAAAAGAAGACAGTCATCTTCAATGAGTTTACTGCAAAGATTAGTAATAAGTTTGCATTATGAAAAACCAAGTTGTTGTCGCTTCCAGGAAGAGTGACTCTAGCCAAATCAACTTTGTCTTCCATGTTGGTGTATCCAATGGGAGCATTCAAGTTACCTGTTCACTTTTTGAAAAAAGCAGACCAAATCATTAGTAATTTTGTGTGGAAAGGTGATAACCAAGACAAGAAAATTCATTGGCGCGCGTAGAAGAAAATTACAAAATCTACCTTTCATGGAGGATTGGGTCTTAAAGCTACAAAGAAATTCAATCAGGCACTTCTCGCTGAGCATGCGTGGAAGATAATGTCTGCACCTCATTCTTTGTTGGCTAAACTTTTCCGTGCCAAATACTGTCTAGATGGTGTGTTTCCTCGGGTACAACCTTCCAGAAATCCTTCGTGGGTGCTCAAAAGTATTGTGTGGGGAGCTGAGTTACTATGAGATCACATTAAGTGGAAAGTGATTTTAGGTAAAGATATTCCTCTGTCAGCAAACTGGATTCCTGGCATTCAAAACCCAATCAGTGCAAACTCCATTCTAGCCAATTCTAATTTGAGAGTGGATCATTTTATTAATTCAAATGGCCAATGGAAAGTAGATGCACTCAGGAATTTCTTCCCGAATCGAGTTATCTCCCACATAACTGGCATTTTTATTGATTCAGGAAGGCAGATTCAGAGGGATCAACTCCATTGGGAACCCTCAGATCACGGGAACTATACTGTTCAAACAGGGTACTATTTGACTATTAATGCCCATCTCCCACAACCTGCTCAAGATCCAGTAATTGTGTATGCAGAAAGGTTAGCATGGAAACGTCTTTAGAACTCAGGAGTTCAGCCTAAACACAAATTTCTGTTTTGGTGAGCTCTACTTAATGCTCTTTCTACAAGATCCGAATTGGCTAAGAGAGGCATCCAGGTGGATGAAATTTGTCCAAGATGTTCTAAACACGTTGAGGACAATTTGCACTTATTCTCCAAATGTGAGGCATCCCAGGCTATTTGGACTTTGGCTTTCCCACGGTCTGGTTCTATTTTTAATACCATATATGATTCTTGGCTACAATGGTTCATTGCTTGGATTCAGATACATCCGTCTAAACAAGAGGTAGACTTCTTCCTAATTATTATTTGGAGGATATGGCTGGAACGCAATGATAAAATTTGGAGGAATCAAAGTAATGATCCGGCGTTATCATAAAGGCTCATTCAAATTGAGGTCAGTCTTCATCAACAGAACCAATCTAGAATCAAAACTAGAAGATCTTCCACTCAACAACACCCGAATAGAAATCCAACGGACGCTTTAGTCATATTTGATGAATCATTCAGTCACCAATCAAGGAAAGCAGCTAGAGCATGGAAGATCATATCACCACATGGGATGGTGATGCAAATCAAAACGGTAGATCTAAATGTGTTTTCTTCTTTTCAGTCGGAGGCAATGACATGTCTTTTGGCTTTGAAGGAAGTAGCAAATTTGGGTATCACTAGTCTTATAGTTTACACGGATTGTAAAGTTCTTATCGGAGATTTATGATCCCCTGATATACCTTCGGAGGCCCAAGAGGTGGTCTCTTTTATTGAATAGTACTATTTCTTTTTTTCAGTCATATACATTGAGTAAAGTAAGTAGACAATATGTTGTAGAATTACATAATTTAACATATAATAGAAATCATTGTAATATAATAGGTACCTTTTCTTAATGAATATATAGGTACCTTTTTTAAAAAAAAATTCTTGGCAATTGCTACTACATATTCCTGGTCATTACTCATTCGTTGAATGCATAACCAAAACAATAGTAGTAATTTCAAAAAAACAGTAGTAATTTCTAAATACTGTCGACGTAAGAGATGAATTTGCTAGTCAAAGAAATTAGTAAAAGGTAAACTCGTCTTTACTCCTCATGAAACGCGCATGAGTTCATGACCTGCTCTATTTATTTATTGTTACCCATTCACGAGTGAAATTCCAAATAAAGAACTAGACAACGTGCACAATACTACTACAATATTTATACATCCCGCACTTGTTTTACTGTAATCATTTCCTTCTAACTCTATTAATACTCTATCCGATCTTATTGATAATGGATAAACTTAAAATAAAATGAAAGATAGGAGTAGTCCATTTTATTGAATAATTTAACACAGTTAAATAGTTTGTCTAACTTTGTGCACCAAGTAACTAATGTGTACGAAAAGACTTGTCACTTATATATTCAACTCTAAATAATGAGATGAAAACTTTCAAACGTTATTTTCATCCTATAACAAATACGCGAGGTAAAATTGACCGAGTAAACGGAATGAAATTGAAGAAAAAGAATGCTACGTTCTCATAGTTTTTAACTCTTTTGTTTCTTCTTTGTAATGTATACAGATATTTAGAATGAATGAAAGTAAATACTAGTGTGGCAAAATAAAAGTAAAAATAGACAAGGGAGAGGTTTCCAATGAACTAGTTTTGCCCAAATAGGAGAAGAAGCTGAAAAGGTGGAGAAAATGGTCAGAGAGCTAAGGAGGTGTACCAAATAAGGCAGACGCCGCGTCCAATGACAACATAATAAAATTAAAAGCCTATTCGTCCACGCATAATGACAGAGAACAAAAAGACCAAATAAAAATACAAAAAACCACTATTTACTATAAATTGCATGTCCTCCTTAAGTCTTTCTGTTCTCTGCAAACTCTTAATTCCCCTTCCTTCATTAGACCTCTTTCTCCTTTAAACTTACCACCTTTTCTTATCTTATTTTTTACCCTCTCTCATATCAATCATATCACAAAATCACATCTTTTCACACACACAAACACGCACTAACATCATTAATTTCACCTCTCTTCTTTTTACACCATTAATTGATTTTCCTCCTAAGTTAAAAGAGAGATCAAATAAAAATAAAAATTTGGGGAAAAAAAAAAAAAAAAAAAAGAAAAAAGAAATGGGTACATCTCCTAATCGTACAGTCTATATAAACCCCTAAACAGAGTGTGGAAGAAAGAGAATAAAACCCTGTCTTCTCAAACAAACATAAAAGATACAAACTTTTGTAACGGCGATGGAAGGTTTAAGGAATTGGCCGGCCGGCTGCTCACCTGAGGGTATTCAATCCCAGTCTTTTGGCTTCCACCCTGCTATTAATCGCCGGAGCTTGTCGCCGGCGTACGGGCTTGCTGGGGCGACCGGAATAATTCCCGATGATCAATCCCTTTTTTCTGCCTTTTCAAGACTCGGCCTTTCGCCGGGTCTTCCGCTCCCAGTCCAGCCGATGTTATCTCCCTCGGCGATTCCTGAGGGAGGAGGGTTTCCGGCAGCTGACGGCTATTGTACTCCATTCAACTATGTCGATAAAGGATTTGGCAATGTGGGTTTACAAGGGGGCTTGCCGGGGTTCGAGAATTATCCGGACCAGAGCTTGGGCTTCTCCGGGGCCCACCCGAATGTGATGGTGGGTCCGGGTCCCTGGGATTGTGGTGGCACTGGGGTGGTTTCCGGCTTTGGTGGTGGCATTCAGGGACAGCCCCGGTATGAAAATTGGTCTCGCTTGTTGAGTACCCAGTTGAACGCCGATGATAATGGTCAAAGACTCAATGATCATGCCTATGCTTGCTTGCTCTACAAGCAAATGTTGTCTAGGAGAGTTAATGCCCAATTCCCCGGTTTGCCCCCCAATCAGAATGGTGTTTCGAGGCTGAATCTCGGCTCACAAGTGAATGGCTCTGTGTGGAAAGATTCGAGTTCATTTTCGCCTAATTCACAACGTATTCGACAAAATTATGCCAGGAATAAGAACCCATTTGATGGAATTTCGTTGCAGGATATGAGGGGAAGATTTGTGTCAATAAGTAAAGACCATAATGGGAGTAAGATTTTGCAGGCTAAATTGGATGAACCAAATGCTGAAGAGATTGAATTGGTGTTGTGTGAGGTGATAGACCATGTTGCAGATTTAATGAAAAATCAATCTGGTAGTTATTTTGTACAGAAGCTCTTCGGGGTGTGTACTGAAGAACAGAGGACCAGGATTATTGCGGCTATTACCAAGAATTCTTTTCAGCTTGTCGATGTTTGTCTGAATTTCAATGGGTACGATGATTCCTGTTGACTGTTTGTTGAAATTTTTAAGTTTTGGGTGAATTAAAATTAAAGCTCTATCCAATTTGGCCTAATCTTCACTCTGTTACGTTTCACAGGGCTCGGACTATGCAGAAACTGTTGGAGAATTTGAGTACTCCCGAGCAGATATCCCTTGTTATATCAGCATTGTGTCCTGGGGGAGTGGCTTTGGCTAATGACCCAAATGGTCAGCATGTGATAAGACATTGTTTGATAACTTATCCCTACGAGTACCACAAGGTACATTCTATTCTAATAGGCTTTCTACATGAATTGCTGTTAAAGAGAAAACTAATCAGGCTGTTCATGGTGTTCATGTGCTGTATTTGTATTAATGCTGAGGGTTGTTTCCCATCTTGAGTTCTGTTTGGAAGTCAATAAACTTCGTCTTCTTTTTTTCCTTTGACTTCCTCTTTAGTTGTTGGGACTTGGGAGGAGTTATTTACTAATTCAATGTCCTATGTTATGTGGCATTGAGATGCATAGTAATTCATTCAACTAATTAATCAGTGATGATTATCTTTTTGCTTGTGTCATTGCTGTCAATCATAGGCTGAATTTGACTAGCTAAGTTGCAGTGCTCTTGAATATTCTAGTCTGGCTGGAGGGTGTCATATGAGAAGGGTGCATAGAGTGAGTTTCAGTCACACTGTTCTATGCACCCTCACTGTTGACATTGTGCTTGTATGTCTCCTACGGCGCCACATTGAGGAATACCAGTAGGTGGTTGTATTCTTGAGGAGGTTAAATTCCTCTTGACTATATATATACTCCAGCAACACGAGCGCTGTAGGCTTCCATTAAAGTTCCAAGGGTTCTCACACGGATAAATAGAACAGCCTTTCACAACGTGTTTTAGTAAAAGTAAATACAATACGCTCTTAGGCTGATGATAATTTCATCACCTTGTAGTTTGGAATTTGATCTTGAATCATCACACGTGCAGGATTTTCTTATCCTGAGGCGGTGAAACTTTGAATATCCTAATATCATCATAATTCATCCTTTAAGTAAAACATCATCCTTTTAAAAGTTTGCTCAGAGCAATTGATTTGTAAATATAAATCTTTAATTGAAGTTATGCTTGATAAACAAATTAGTTTCTTCTTCTTATTTGTATTTTGTAATGTTGTTCATCATGACTTGGATTAAGCAGTTTTGGGGATATGCTGCTAATCCTAATGGTGTGATTTTGGTGTTTAAATGCTTTGATATGAACTTATGATGCTTCTTTTTTTTTTTTTCCTTTTTTTCTGTGTCTTTTTGGTGTTGGGGATATTACTGGAGTATTTCTTTGTAAAAAATATTTTGTTTTATGCTAACATTTGAGCATATACACTTAACATTTTAATAAACTTTACCTTTGTATTTTCACTTTGATATGTGATATTTTTCTTCCCAAAGATGCACTTAACTGAATGGAGTCCATGAGAAGTATAACATTCCCAAGTGATCATGATAACTTCTTCTTCCTGACCTCATGCATTTGTGCAATTACTTTTACCTTATAATCTTTCAATTTGTCTAGTTGAAAAATCACAATTCATGTTACTGATTTGGTGTAAGACAAACTGTAGATGGGAAGAAAATATATCTTTACGAATTTGAATTTTATCTTTTATCAAATATCAATGAGATGTTGGATATCTTCTGAGTTTGAAATTGTTACTTGTGAAGAAATGAAAATGTAGAGAAGTACCATAAATGGTACCCTGCCATGTCAAAGAGAAAAGTTTTATTATAGAATTAATCCTATTTGATTTTTCATTTTATTTTTTTAGTTATAGTTGCCTTAAGCAGTGTTTTCATCCACCTCTAGGTAAGTATCGCTGGCATGTAAGTGTATCATATACTATACACTATGTACCAGCTTGTGTAGATACTACTTACTGGCAGACTCTTCTTATGCAACATCTACTACACTTTCTTTCTGTTGGTGGAATTTTGTAATCATGTCATATGAGGTTTTTCTGGTGTTTATTAAACTCCACCTTTTCAGTTTTGTCTCTGGCATATATATCTATAGTCATGATTTCCTTTACCACAGAATCCAAGTTCCAGCATTTTTACATTTGTTCTAGCATTTATGTAGGGAATAACGTATCTAACAGTTGCTTTGTGTTTGGCAGCACCTTCTCAATGAAATTGCCAGCAACTGCTGTAGGATTGCCACAGACAAAAGTGGATGCTGTGTTTTACAAGCATGCGTGGAGAATGCTCATGGGGAAGCCAAAGAACGCCTCATACACGAGATCATAACAAATGCTTTACTATTAGCTGAAGATCCCTATGGGTTCGGTTCTATATTCCCACTTGATTATCTTTTATTTCAGCTGTGAAAGTATGTTTACATATCCATAACTTTTCATATTACCTTTCATTACATTCAGAAATTATGTTGTGCAACACTTGCTTGGGCTCAGAATGCCACAAGTCACGGCCCTTCTCATGGCAAAGCTTCAAGGCCACTTTGTTGCTCTCTCAAGTGACAAGTATGGAAGCAATGTCGTGGAAAAATTCTTTGTGGAAGCAGGAAAAGAGCACTCCATGAAGATTATCATGGAAATCATCTCAAGTCCAAATGCTGAGATTCTGCTTGTGCATCCTTTTGGAAACTTTGTTATCCAGAAAGCGCTATCAATTGCGAGGGTAATTGCAAATCTCCCTATTTACTCGACACGTACCAATAGGCTCATATTCTTTGATTTAAACTCTGACTTTTGTCCTTTCAGGGTAGTGACGTGTACTGTGCTTTGTGTAATTTGATCGAAATGAATGCCTCATCGATGCGCAGCAACCTCTTTGGAAAGAAGATCCTTGCTTGGTTTGAAAGGAGGAAGCACCAACATGTTGTATAGGTTTGTATCGCAGAGCCGAGTTCACTTTGCTGTTATAGGAAAGAGCACCTACCCGAAGTTATTCAGTCTATTTTTGTAGTTGTTATGTCATTCACCTGTCATCCTTGTAGATTTTGTGGTTGTAGTTCCTTGTGTTTTTTACTGTCATGGAGCATTTGCCAAGTGTTGTTGTGGGTTAGCCAGAAGAAAAGCAAAACAAGAAATCGTATCTCCAAACATGGTGAAGAAACTGGAGCTGCAAGAAGCAAAGTGTGGAAGGGAACAAGGGATCCTGTGACAGTGGTACAAAATTGTGTAGTAGTCCGGGTTCTTCCTTCTCCCACTCTACTGTCTGTGTTATTACAAGTTTCAGTGGTGTAAATTTTGGCCCTTTTTGTTTAGTGTGTTGTTTTTGGGAGGGTGTCTTCTACTTGTTAGGGGTTCTAGCCTTCTAGGAATAAAAAATGTGACTTGTGAAAGTGTCTGAATCCTCATCTGTTGTTACTTTACTCACTGAGCTAGTTTTAGTTGTTTCATTTATCTTTTCTTGCTTATACAGTTTGCACTGATGATTAATGTATTATGTAAAGCAAACTCATATTTTGCGATGAAACACGGTATTTGGACCATTCTCTTTTGTAAAAAACAGAGCACAAAAAGTTGTTTCAAACGTTTGGAGGGGTTTGGACTTTGGACTTTTTGGATATGGTTTAAACTTTAAAACCCTAAAATACATTAACAATTGTAGTGTGGTTGTGAGGAGAATGTACTACTTACTAATAGAGTTGGAAGGAAGTAATTTTAAAATGAAAAAGAAATAAGAAATAAATAAAAGAAGACCATTGTTTGACTTGTCAAGCATCTGAGCTGCTTGTGGTCCAATTAGTCAATGGAGTCAACTGACTGTTCCAGGTGGCATGTGAAACAACTTTATCTGCTGAAATTAGTCAACCTAAGACAGAATGAGTCTTGGTCTCCGGGATTGTCCCCACGATTTCATTCGACTCCTCGACAAATAGCTTTCGGTTTTCTTCAGTCCCCCAGGATCCAGTTCGTAATTACACCATACCCACCGAACCTCGGTCACTTCGAACACTTGAATATATTGTTTGCTCTATTAGTACTCCCTCCGCTCTTTTTTTTTAATTAGAAAAAAAAATTTAAAAATATATTTTCACATTCATTATATTTTCTTAATTATTATGAAATGTTTTTAAGGTTTTTATTCCAATTAAAAAAAGATATCCTAAATGAAACATAAGACGAAATCAAAATGCCTTATACTCCTTCCGGTCCTTATTATAAAGCATTTTGATTTTGTCCTAAGTTTAATCTAGGATATCTTTTTAATTGAAAAAAAAATCTTAAAAATATATTTTTACATTCCGTTGCGTTCTTCTTATTATTATGAAATGTTTTTAAAATTTTTTATTCAAATTAAAAAAATATTCTCGGTAAATTTAGGACAAAATTAAAATGACTTATAATAAAGATTGGAGGGAGTAATCAGGATCGGAGGGAGTATCATTTTTGGACGTTAAAGTGACTCAGTGACAAAACTACACATGTTGCTTACATTGATAGGTCAATTTGATTTGATGTACAGTATTTGATATCTCATTTTATTTGTTTTTTCATGGGAACCATTCGATGTCATAAATGGAACACTCAACAGTCAAAAACTAATATACCCATTTGATTTTTGTCTCATAATTTATAAGAGCAAAATTCTACATACAAGTCCTTCACAAATTTTAATATGAGACATGTATGATAGATACGTTTTCCGTTCCAAAAATATTACTATACAGTTTGGATTTTATTTTAAAAAAAATTAAATTAGGATGAAAATTCAAGTTATTAAATAATCATTTCAGTATGGAGAAATTACTGACTAAAATTTTACCTTCATTCTTATTAGGGTGTTTTAATGATAATGATGTATTTTAATTGATGCATCTTTTTATTTAATCTCAACATATTCTTTAATACTCCTACAGCTTTTATCCTTTTTTACATCTTCAACTGAAAAAAATAAAATACATGCAGAAGAAACGAAATAAACATAGCCAAACATTGTCTTCTTTGTAAGTACTAGAAAGGAAGGAAAAACACTTCTTGTAAAGCTGTTTATAAGGTCCATACGGAGACATCTGTGTTTGTGCTTCACTCTTTGAAAATGCATGAACTTTGTCACCAAAAGAAAAAAAAAAAAAATCAAAACAAAAATGCATGTACTTTGTCATCATGAATGTTTTTTTCCAGAGTGGTTTAGGCCGCGGCTTCAAATGTTTCAGACAACGTTCTTAATTTTTTTGATTTGAAAATTTGTTCTAAAGATTATTGTAGATTAAATTTTTGTTTTTTTTTTTTGTTGTTTTTTTTCAAAAAATGCTTTTTTAACTGCATTGATGTGAGCTTTCTATATTTTCTACAACTTGCATTTTAGTAGTAGAGTTTACAATTTACAAATTGCAACGAAACGGCTTTATCTTTTGCATCTTATGGATTAAACCATGAAAAAAAAATGAAATGAAATTGAACATATAATTAGTACTACTACTTATTGGATATCCTATTTATAAGATAAATAGTGGAAGTATTTACAATGGCGGAGGATAAGGTAGAACTCGAAACTCTCTTACATATGTGTAACTACACCAAACTGAACAAACAATAAATGATTCTTAAGACACATGAAATTAATGACAAGTGTTGGAACTTGGGAGAAGAAGATGGAGTTACAAACACACCTTCCATTTTATTCAATACTACTAGTAATCTGGTACTGCTCCATAATCTCACTGCTCATGAACAAGAGCTTCATTTTTTTTTTTAGTTCAGAGCAAACTCAAATCATTAAAACAGAATACATATAGGTAGAAAATAGTAAAGCCAAATTATTATGGATGTCGAATGAATAAATAAGCAGCTTAATTATTTATTAAATATTTTTTTCAAGGACATTTGGGTTTGCCCTTGGAGTTCTTCTTGTCTCTGTAACAAGGGCATTCATGCTTGTTGCCATAAGTTCCAGAAGGCACGCAATTGCAGTCTCTGCAACAAATTCCACAGTACCTCAAGCATCTATCCATCACTCCTGCCTTTGAGCACCTCACAGCACACTTTGATTCGCAAAAATCTTCATCCAAAAAAAAAAAAAAAAATACCCATACATCAATATTAATCAATATAAGATCCTCTTAAAATCACTTGACAATACAACTCAAAAAACAGAGGATAAAAAAAACAGGGGAAGAGAAAAATAGCCACAGCATTAATTCATGCATCAATTGAAATCGGTTAAATACTCTAGATTACATTAATAACATTAAAAGGGTCATCAGGGATCTTAATTACCTGAACCAGCAACTGTGATTGGAATCAGAGAAGAGTTGATCACAATTGCCATGAGAAGCAAAATAACAAAGGCTACCTTCATTTTTTCTTTCTTTTTATCAAACCGAACTTCAAGATCACTCAGGCAGAAGAGAATTACTAAGAGGGTTTAGGGTGAAATGTATCAATTGTAGTGAGTTTGAGGGAAAGGGAAAGGCCTGATTGGGGGTATTTATAGCAGGGATAAAGGAGATGGTAGGTGGAGGGGGTAAAACCTGGTAAATTGTTTTTGTACTACTAGTACATTCATTAACTTTGTGTAAGGCAGTGGTGTACAGACTGGATGCCAAATTTACATGCAAAAAGAAAAAAAGAAAGTGTATTTAACAAAAATGGGTCGGCGTATTTGTCAAAAGCTTAATTCATCAGTCATATATGAACATTTCGAAAAAGATAGATCCAATTTCCTCAAGATGATGATGATCAAAGGGATGGAATTGGATGGAGGCCCATGCCAAACACCGCCACACCGTAATTTCTGTGCCCAAATGAATTACGTTTTTTGAGATAACTTTGTGTTTTATCTTTTACCCAAACCGCGTTAGGCTAATTGGGAAAGGAGTAGAATTTTTAGTGATCAAATTTTGTTTTGCAGAAGGATGAGATGAGACTTACAGCTAAGAGGGAAAAAAAAAAAAAAAGAGTGGAATGGTAGATTATTTGATACCCACCAAAACCTGAAAATGTTGTTGCCCAATTGCTGTACAATCTCGTCAGGTTGATCATCAAAACTGGCAAAAAACTTTAGTCCCACAATAGAGTTAGTGATGAAGAGTCTAGTCAAAAGAAGGATCCGTGTCCATCAGTCCAGATGTTACATACCAAACGTCATAATTTGATATGGTCTTGTACAATCCACTCTCTCTCGTTCATGCATTTCCTACCGTCCCACAAGATTAACAAAATCTCATTCCCATTCCTCCCATGATTCATGGCCATTTATATTATGTTGAGCCTATCAATATGGATGTTGAATTACTGGTTTAGGTTCTTACGTTTGGGGATTTTATCAAAGACAAAATTCGTGACATTTACCCCGTCGGAATTTACACAAAAATGTGACATTTTGATTTCCTTTGTTAATTCAATGGGTTTTGGCCTTTCCTTTGTTGGTCACTAGTACCGTTTTGTGTTACTATTACGTAACACGCAAACATTAATCGTATGCGCCAGAAATCTAAAAAAAGCTAAGCAATGGATTCGCAGAGATCATTGTGGAATGCTGTTTTAAGATTTGTGCTCTAGAAAAAGGAGAGGGAAAAAGCTTCAAAGGTTTGCATGAAAAAGCCAAATTAATTAAAAGGGGGCATGGGGTTTGGCATTTGGGTGATGGGGTCAGTCAGTCCACTCCGATTCAACCTTTGTTAACTCACATGAGAGATGTCGTCCTCAGGAACTGCTGACTGTATCATCAAAACCGTGTACATATCAAAATCCCCCAGTGGTTTCTATCAGTATTTGTTTCCATTCAAATATTCTTGTTAGTGTTACAATGAATCGCTCATTATACTCATGATGAAAAAACGAACGGAAACCCGAAAGGCAAGTAAACTTGGTTATCCCATTGCGAAGTATGAGATTGTCAGTTATGGAGCACAATTAGACCTCAATTAAAAGGAGAGAGACTATTCATGGTACATTTAACACTTGTTATACGCCAAAAAAAAAAAAAAAAAAGACTCTAATTAACCTTTTTACTCTACTAGTAATGCTTCAATATTATCATTATTATGTATACAACATCTATACATACTTTCTTTAACTGTTTTTTTAGTACACTCAGTAAGAGACTCGATACCATGTTAAATAAGAAAATGTATACTTTAAGATATTTTACAATTTAGAGATTATACAACTATATATTATAGGGGAGCTTATTACATGTACATATAATCCTACAAAATATATTATAACAAAAAAATAGTTTGATTTATTTAATCATAAATGTAGTGAAATGGAAGTTGAATCCGTGAAAATGTGAATTTCAGAAGTATCAAAATTTAAACAGTATCGTACAATTTGTCGCATACATAGTGTACCGTTTAAAGTGAGTTTATTTTTCATATACTCCGACATTTATCCAAGGTGAGCAAATGAACCACCCATTCCTTTTGAATTTATGATAGACATATCAATTTTATCCGGCAATATGAAATTATAAATTACCGATACACGATAATACAAAATAACTAATCATATTTCTTAAGAAATGTGGGATTT